TGTTTATCTTTAACTTATTTTGAATAGTCTAAAAACATGTTTTCTCAAAGGCAATAAATGCCCTTTTCTTCTTTCTCATGCTTTCTCTCTCCTCTTTGCTTTTCATTTCCCCCTTTTCTTTACTACAATTGAATGACTAGACGAAATTGGATTTATTAACACTTTTCTAGCTTATTAATGGCACTCGATTTCGTTTTGCTTTTTGGATTCGACCCATAACAAATACTAAAAGAACTTCTCAATTCTTACCATTTTCTAATCACTTCACTCGATCTTGTTAACATACTTGTCAAAATTGGCTCTTTTTGGCTTCCCTCAACCAATGATCCCTTTGAAAAGATTTGCTTCTTTTGTTAGTCATCTTCCTCAACTCATTCTCTTTGCCATTCCTCCTGTTATGCTATTGTAGGTAATGGAGAGGTATTGTTCATCTTCTCCAATTTTCGTTTTACTAAAGTTAAATTAAGAAATTAAAGTTAATTATTTGGGTTTTTCCTAGGCACAAAAGGGGCAATTTTTCTTCATAAATGTAAAGGTTAAATTTAAGAAATAGTCATAAATCTCTTCTTTTCCCTAGATCTATCTCATCTCTAACACAAGAACGAAAATGAGAAAAATCCATGACTCTTTTTTTCAAATCTTAGTTGGAGATCTAGCTTGCTTTTACCAATCTGTAGAATAAGAGGGATTCAACCAAACATTTAGAAGAACATAGCAAGTACAGGCAGAAAGATGGAAAAAAAAAAATCATTTGAAACCCATAAAATTCAAGACTACTTTTCCTATTTTCAATTGCATAATAAATTCCTCATCTTTCTGGGTTAGTCAATCTCAAATCCTTTTACCTCAACATTCCAGCAATGTGGATCTTTGTGGGGAAGAAATTAAAATGGTGGTGCTAGTTTTGGTGCTGGTTTAGAGGAAGGAGGCTACAATAATGGGAAAATGAAGGGGTTTTGTGGGAGGGAGAGGGATTAGGTAGTCTAGTGTTTCTAGGATCCAAGAGTTTAGATCCAAGTGCTGGTTAGAGCAAAAAAAGAAATTGAAAATTTTCATATTTGATAAAAAAAAATTAAAAAAAAAAGGAGCTAGATCCAAATGGGATGAAATTGATGGTTACTAGTGGGTGATGAGTACGCAAAATTTCTGGATTCTTTGCTACGGAGAAGCAAGGGGAATAGATGGAGTGGTAGGAAGAGAAAGAATGAGAACGAATGAGAATGGAGGAAGAGAAAGAAAGGAAGGAGAAGGGAGGAAGAAAGAGAAAGGAGGAGGAAGTGAGGAAACGCAGTGGCCAATAGTGGTGACAATGCTAGTGTCGGTGCTAGAGAAGACAAGAAATCAGTGAAGAATCAAAGAAAGGAGAAGGGATCAAGTTATTATATGTTTGGAAACAAAAATAGAGTATGGCTAGGTGAATGGCTACAAGTAAAGTTATTCATCTCTTATTCTTAATTAGACTATAAATATATTTTTCAAAGGAGGTTAACCTACCGACTGTTGTCTTAGTGGGTACATGAATCATTTCCCTAAACAAAAAAATAAGGTACAAGGGTATTAATGAACAACTATTTTGTAAGAGGATGATATTGAACAATTTTATATTCAATTAATTTTTTTTATCATATTTTATTTTATCTTTATTTTCCTCATCTTTCTCATAATCACTAAAACTAATCTTTGAATAAAAAATGGTTAAAAATTGATTAAAATGTATGAAATAAACAGAGATTGAAATAATGAAAATATAATTTAATGGATCAAAGTTTTTATTTCTTAAAAATTTAGGGGGCCTGTGCCCCCCTCAACCCACCTTGTCTATGCCAACTACCTCAAAAAAAAGAAAAAGAAAAAAGGCGCACTCTAGTAATTTATAATTTTCATTCGTTAGAACATATACATCTCTTCAAGTATAAAGTAGCCCAAAAACTAGATACTCCTAGAAAAGATAACTGAAAGATAAGTATGAAAACCTAGTTATCCTACCACCTGGGCGTTAGTTATACCACGATGGCACACCCAAGACACTAATAGTAGCGTTGTTAGCCAGTTATCACAATCTCTCTTTCTCTCTAATTTTTTTTTTTATAATCAAATAAAAATTTTTTTAATATTCTCCCCTCCCTTCAAACCAAACATACTCTAAAATTGCACACCAAAAAGCCACAATTAAAAAGGAAAGAAGAAAGCATTACTCTCTCTATTTCAAAATAATCGTTAGGAATATTTTTTATTTATAATTTATTTTAAAATAATAATCATTTTTTTATATTTTAAATGAGATAAATATTTTTTTACTTTAATTTTATAATTATTTTTTAACTTTAATTATCCCTCAAATTATTAAAAAAAATTTTAATAAAATAGATAAAAATAAAAATTACCATCAATCTATATTATTCTAAGAGTACATAGGGAATATTACATAAAAGTATTTTTCACTTTGTCCTACATATAAAAATTAAAAAAAAAATTCCAAGTCAGGCAAAAAAATTTCCTTATAATATGTTTAGGTTGAGAAAAATGGAGGAAAAGGGAAGATTTTCTCACATTGCAAAATTTGATTGGTCAAAAAACCTTCTCCTTCCATCTATTCCATTTCCCTTAATTCAAATATACTATTAATAAATTAAAAATACATAAACATTTATTTATTTTTGTCTAATTTGAACTGATATTTTCTTTTTACAAGAGACACGGTAAAAACCCAATATCAAATTATTAGACATACAACTGTCAAAATATATTACTAGCGAACAATTGCTTACTTAATTGAGTAGGTACTTGGCCTTATAGTCCACTTGGTAGCGGTGCAATTTCCCAGTCCTTTGGTCTGGCTTTTAAATCTCTCCCTGTTAGAAATTGTACTTCGTTCAAGTTAGTGCCCATTATTAAACATAAAAATTTAATTATTCTGATACGGAAGCCAGGGACTTTAAATTTTAATGCCTGCATAATTTTTGATGGGATTTTATAATCTAATTAAAAAAGAAAACTGTTTTTTTGTTGATAAAACAAAATTACGAAGTAGTCAAATTAACCGTCTTTCTATTTGCATTTCTTTGATGCAGAATATATAGTAGGGATATGATTTTTTTTTTTCCAAGGATGATTCCTCTTTGAAATGTCTTTTTTCTGCTTTTTGAGGGAATAATCATAATTTTAAAAAGCCAATATTTACTTTAGCATCTGGATTCTGCCTTCTTTTTCTTCAGGCTGAAACTTGCTCCAGAATCAGGCCAAAATAAAAAAATAAACTTCATCAGAACAAGGGTGGCAAAGAAAATAACCAGGGAAAGAAAACGATGGCGCCAGTACTCTCTATTCCTGAAAATGTTCAGAACCTATGGGACGCATGGAGTATTAGAGGATTCATCATTATAAGCTTCTCTGTGCAGGCCTTCTTACTTCTGCTTGCACCGTTTAGACAGACAATTCGCAGTTGGGGAAAATGGGTTATTTGGCTCCCGTACTTGTTCGCGGACTGGGTTGCTGTATTTACCATCGGATTGATCGTCCAGCACAAGAGTTCCACAATGGACGGCCCTCCTAGTGACATCTTGGCTTTCTGGGCACCCTTTCTCTTGTTGCACATTGGCGGTCCAGACAACATTACCTCTTATTCTCTAGAGGATAATAAGTTATGGCAAAGATACTTGCTGAAGCTGGTGCTACAGCTGGGTTTTACCATCTATGCCATTTTAACGTCCCTCTCAAGGTACGAGCTTTACTTGGCAACTCTCCTCGTGTTATTTGCTGGCGTGGAAAAATATGTTGAGCGAATTGTTGCTTTTCATCGTGCAAGTTTAGACCATTTCGGAGAAAAATGGCAGGAAACTACTGCTATAGATGGAATTCACATTCCAGAACAATTCAAAGGCGTGAAGAACAACGGAGGGATATTACAAACTGCAGTTCTACTCCTTGGCAGTTTAAAGGGTATAATCATTGGCCCTGCTCCAAAGAAAGAGGAGCAAGACAAAATCACAAGGATTTTTCATCCTGACCAAAGTAGAAGTTGGTGTGGTGCGCTTCGAATAATTGAGATTGAGCTAAGCCTCTTGTATGAGCTTCTTCACACCAAGTTGCCTGTGATTGCTTCAACTAGTGGATTTATATTCCGTATGGCCAATTTCATTTGCATCTTGGTAGCCTTGCTTTCATTCTCATTAGTTAAGAAGCACCACCAGTTGGGGTTGGTTGACATCTTGCTAACCTATGGGTTGCTGATTGGCACCTTGGCGTTGGATTTCTTGTCTATCATATTACTCATCAAATGCTCCGATTGGTTTGCCGCT